AGAGAGAACTGGGGAGTAAAGTAATTTTAAATTTTAATTTTTTTTCCGAAAATTTTGAAAATTTTATGATTTCATTATATTTATATTTTACTGTAGATAAAATAATAATTAAATAACTGAGGCCCCAACACAGTAAAAGTTATAAAAATTCTATTTTTGAAATTTAAAAATATTTTTTATAATTTTATTTTTACTAAATTATTATTTTATTTCTTAATTGCTGTAAAGCCAAAAGAAGGGCAAAAGGACGAAAATACCCTCCATTTTAACTGCCGGTTGGATTGAAAATTGAGTCGGGACGTAAATCGTCGAAAAATCGCCTTTTTTTTTTTTGACAAAATGGGATAAAAATAAACATTTTAAAATATGTGGGACGAAAATAATTTTTTGACCGAATATATGGGACGTTTTCTCTGGTTTAGCCTAATAAAGACTAAAAAAAGTACTAATTTAATGTGGACCGGAGGACTTACTAGTTTAATGTAGCAAGGTGGACTATTAGAATGGAACGAAGAGAGTGTTCCCTCCATTTCTTCTCTGCTGATGACTTTTTTTTTTTTTTTCCCTGTATTTAAGTTTTTCACGTTGGACAAGCGGGGATTTCAAAAGTGATCTCTAGTGATGATGTAGCAGAATTTCAAAAGCGGCATTTCAGCGAAGCTGGGGGTCAGTGGCAAGGCCGGCGACACTTAAACAGAGGTCGCTTTGGGAGAAGAGTGATGCAGTAGCTTCACATATTTAGTACTACTGTAGTATGTTTTTCGGTTTAGTTTTATTTATTGGAGTGAAATGCAGAAATATGGAAATCGAACTAAATGAAATTAAAATCATCTTGTAGTGTGGTGAGTTCTATTATTTTACATCAATTTCTTTTTACGAAAGCTGTGGCAGTGTTGCTAATTGCGATCTCGAAAAGCTACTTTCAAAACTTTTAAATCATAGGGACTGTTCTTCTGCAATAAATGTATGGGTTTGAGGTGTAAACTAAATAATAAAAATTTATTATACTTCCTGTGTTTTAAAATTATTGTTCGGTTTAAATTTTTACTTTTAATTTAATTTATATTTAAAATAAAAATCTAAATTAGATAGTAATAATTTTGAGGCGAAAGAAATACTTAAAAAACGTAAAAAGTACTCCCTTCGTCTCCTTCCTTTCGCTGCCATCCCTGAGGTTTGTCCAAAGTTTGACAAAATTGAATCAAACCATTCATTTTTGTCTTATTGTATTCTCCTTGTGTTCTCGATTCATGGCCTTGTGTGCTTAGAGTACTTCTCAGGACCGCAAGTATAATGCATCATCATCAACGCAGCCATCATCCATCATCACCATTATTATGACGGGAAATAGTCGGAAGCGGAAATATATCAGTCCAGAAATTTTTGGTTTATGTAAGAAGTTTAGGTAAATTAGTATTAGGTAATTTAGGGTAAGTAGTAAACAAAAAGTAATACACATTTTACTATTTGAATTAAGATACATACCTAATACAATTAATAAATTAATTATTTCACTATTTAAGTTTTACTTCAAAACCTCTTAACCTTTCTAATTTTGATACCAGTGATTACGATTTATCCCTGAAAATGTCGAGCTTATTTATGGTCTTTCGTGGGATATTTCAAGGTAATATAGTTAGAGATGATTTTTTGGACTCAGTGGTGTTTTTATATTGACATTAACTGCATATTACGATTAATAAAAAATACTTTTTTATAACAATTGAACTATTTTTATTTTTTTATTTTTCAAAAAAAAAACATAGAGTAACACATTTGATAAGTAATAACATTGTCTATAGTTGTGGGAAAATGAAACCAATTGCTCAAGAGATACTGGACCAGTTTGAATGTAAGGACCTCGTGCTAGCAAGAGAAATTGACTTTTAATCGTCGTGAGTATGCGACTAAAATCGGTGACAATTCATCCTCCAAAAGATTTGTTGACATTGTGGGAATGGCCAAGTTTAAGAAAAATTCCTTCTGCTATATGCCTATCTTAGCTAGCTCGAAACTTGAAAGTAACTCAAGATTCGGTAATCAAATCACATCTTACATTTGATAAACGAAAGTCAAATATGTGGTTTTTATTTATTTATCCCTTTTACCCTATTAAACCAGAATACAGGATGTTGATGTGGCAACTTTTTATTAAAAAAATTTGGCTCCAAATGCACCATATTGCTTTAACCATTCTGCCATGTGTCATCCCTTTTTTTTTAAAAAAAAAAAACTTCTTATCTAGAAAACAAAAGCTAATTTACAAAAATATCTACACAATTTTAACTCATAACACTTATCATTTATCAATCAAATTAAGATAGGATTTAAATTTGTCCATAAACTTATCCCTTTTATTAATTCACATTCTTTTGTATGATTTCTGCATCGGTGTACCTTTTAATATTTTTTTCTTCTTTTGCAGATAATTTTTTATTTTTATTTTTATTTTTGGCTAAAAAAGAGAAAAAATAAATGTGTAGCTATTTTATTTTTTCTAAATAAAAAATTCATTTATCTATTAACACAAAATTAAAGTAGAGGGGGCGCCCGGGCATCTGCCTGGCCAAGCATCTAGTTTTTAATTAAATTCAACGCCAGCTACAAATTTACATGATTCATGATTGAGTTCTACTGTTGAAGTATCAAAATTATACAACCTAATTATATGTGTTTTTTCTTCCTTCAATTTTCAAAGTTTAGGTGATCTCTATTATTGCGGGTGACATGGGATCATAGTTGTCACTCAAGACTCAAAACCCACAATTTTTCCTCTTGAAATTGGCGTAATAATTTTTCCTTGAATCTAAATCACATGTGTACACAAAGTCATTTTATCTTTTTTTTTTCCTTTTCTTTAGCAAAACTCCTGCTAAAATGAATTAAAAAAAAATATAATCCCTTTAGTCGTTAACATAAGTCATTTTGATTTGTCTTAATTTTAACTTAATACGTATTTTTAATTGACAAAAAGAAATCTTTAAAATAGTTCATTACAATCAAAGGAATACAACAAATGCAAACATATAACTTTAACGTTTTTTATCTATTAAAAGTGCTTATTAAGTGAAACATAGGACATATTAAAATATTTTATATTAAGATCCGAGTACTGTAATAATTTACACAAACTTGCTTCATATGGGAAGTTGCAGATTGATTTGTCCAGTTATGTCACGGAAAACAGAGACAAACGGGAAGCCCTAGGCACATGATTTAGTTCATCAGTTCATGTATGGGCACATATGTACATTAATTTCCCTAGAAATCAATTAATCTAGTATATTAATATTATATTTATATAGTTCGGTGCTGCATCCGAACTCAAGCTTTGTTATGTATAGATGCGGAATCGTGGAGGAACCATCAATTACTGAGGCAGACATCCCGGCAACATGTTGGCCGTTTTTTGCCATTTCCAGAAATGAGAGAATCGCATTAATAAAATGGGTTAATATCAAAAATACCCTCAAGGTGGTTTAATTAATTATCGAAAATACTCTCATCGTTTGAAAAGATATTAGAAATATCCTTTAATTGGTAGGTCAAGTATCAAAAGAATCAATGATTATACATATAAAATCAACCAAAAAAAAATTACCAAAAAATGTTGTAAGAAATCTTCTTTAGTTTTTCTCAAATTCTAAACAAATTAAATACTACTTCTAAATGAAAAATTAGTTTCCACAAAACCACCTAAAGCAGTCACTTCTAGAACTACGGGGCTTATGAAAAGGGAATTCTGAATTTAGAAATTAATATTTGTTTTTTTAGAGTTTGAAACAAAAAATTCATGGAAGGTTTTGTGGAGGTACAAATGTCTTTTGGACACTTTTTTTTTGGCTAAATTTCGTATGTATATATCAGTTTTCAATTGCCAAAGGACTTTTTTGACAATTGAGTTGCTAATTTAAAGATTTTTTTTTATATTTTTCAAACAGTAATTTAGAACCCTAATAAACCCTAATAGAATGGATACAAACTCCATCAGTCTCATTTTATTATACCACAAACTAAGAAATACAATAAGAAGGGTGAAAATATAGAAGACAGTTAAAAAAAAAAAATGAATGGAAAACACAAGCATAATTATGAGTTATCATTTTTTAAATCATTTCGTGTTATAAATACTTCCTGTACTATTATCATAGCTTTAATTACCGAACTTTATTTATGCTCACATTTTCATAGATTGTTCTTGAAGTCTCAAATATAGGTGCACATGTGGTTTCACCTTAAAACCAATTGGTAATAAAGAGAGTAGCACATGTGGTCATATATTAATTACAAGACTCTCCATCCATTCATGTGAGACAAGGGAACTTGGACATCTCTCAATACAATATTCTCAACACTCCCCTCTCAAGCTCGAAGGGGGTGGACAAACCAGATAAACTTCTGGATCCATGTGAGACAAGGGAACTTGGACATCTCCCACCTCTCAAGCTCGAAGGGGTTGGACAAAACGGATAAACTGCTGGATCCATGTGAGACAAGGGAACTTGAACATCTCTCAATACAATATTCTCAACACTCCCCTCTCAAACTCGAAGAGGTTGGACAAACCGGATAAACTGCCAGATCAGTAAAGACCCAGATATAACTGGGTTAGTAGAAGAAACCCCTCTCAAGCTCGAAGGGGTTGGACAAACCGGATAAACTGCCGGATCAGTAAAGACCCAGATATAACTGGATAAGTAGAAGAAATAGAAATAGAAGACCGGAAAATCCGTTCCACAGATATAACTGGGTAAGTAAAAAAAATAGAAATAGAAGGCCGGAAAACCCGTCCCACAATTCACACAGGTCCGCGGATAAAATTTGTTCTGATACCATTTTGAATGCCCAAATATAGGCCCACATGTGGTTCTACCTTAAAACCAATTGGTGATAAGAGAAGTAGCACATGTAGTTATATATTGGTTACAAGACTCCCCATATATCTATATGGGACAAGGGAATTTGGTCATATCTCAATACAATGCCTTTGGTCAATGCCTCAATGGTTAACGCAATACATCTTCTGTATCTATTTTATTTGCTTTACATCTTTTGAGACAAAAGAAATAGATTATTCTGTAAATTAAAAAAATAAAATAAAATTGAAGCACACATCAGTTGACCACACGATGATTTCGTGTGAGACTATCAAAATTTATTCAACCCCAATAACATAATCGAATCTGTATTTGCCAATTTATTTTTGTACATTTAAAACACTTAAGCGTAGGAAGTTAAACCTACTCAAAGACTACACAAAAGGAGACTACAAATTAACAAAGGCTGCCAGCCGTATACAATAAATTCTTCATCTAATCCACCAAAGAAGAGAAAAAGTCAGCACCCTCTTTTTTTTGTTTTCCCTTTATCATTCATCATCATCAACCTATTCTGATCTTCTCTCATCTATCACTATTAATCTGTACACAAAGTCAGTCATCTCACACGTGATGTTCATGGCTTGAGCATTGCTGTTGTTGTTGGTTGCTGGAACATGTGCACCTAGCTCTGGTTTCCGTGAGTGTCTGAAAAAGGGGATAAAAAAGGAGAAGTTGGTAAGATTCATGTGACTTTTGGACATGGGGGGAAGCACAAAAGTAATAGTAAAAGGACTTGATGAAATTGAATATACCTGAACTTGGTTTTGAAGGTCTTTAATGTATTCAACTGCCAAATCCAACATATCAGCTGTGTTTGTTTGCTGCAAAAATGGCCAGAGCAGAGCAATTTTAATAACCAAACACTTGCGGAAAAGAGTAAAGAACTCTTCGAGAACTGAAGTGTCATACGAATCTTACCTTGTCCATATTTGGAAATAGTTCTTGTAGTTTCTTCATTCTGTCACTTATCCGAGTTCGCCTCATCTGCTTTTATAAACATTCTCATCAGATATGAATACTTTGTCTTGCAAATTTACAGATTCAGTTGCAAGACATAAGATTTACATACCCTCTCAGCAATGCTGCGTGGATGTGTGGCGCAACCTCTCTTTGCACGGATTTTACATGGAACTGAATCTTGTTGAAACTGTAAATATTTGTCTAAGGCAGACATTTCAGCCGCAGTTTTAGGCAAACTCAAATGATGAGTTAGAGCAGTGTGGTTCCTGGGTTCCAGATCCTGCAAAATAAATGTCATACAAAATGAGGCATGAATCAAATGACTCGACAAACAAAAAGAATATTTTGTGGAGTAATCCGAAATATTACGTGGGTATCCAAGCCACTGAAACCAGAGAACATCTTCAAGTCACCATCCCTGTTACGTTTCATGCTATTGAATGAAGTATGATAGCCAGAGACATGGTCAGGGCTACCATGGCCTAGCATCTCAGTTCCATTTTCTGCTATAGTTGGCATGAACCTCGAGCTAGAAGATGACCCAGAAGTGAAGTTCATTTGATTGTTCAAAACACCAGTTGCTGGGCTGGCTTCCCCATTGATCCCATTACCGTTTCTGAAGTTTCCTACTTCTCTCATCCCATCATACCCTGATTTCAATTCAAACATATTAAGCAACTGTGAAATTGCAAGAATAGCCTAATACTGGTAAAAACACATTAACAAGTCAAATCCAACAGAAACATAACTGGTCCTTTAATTACAGTCTAATTCATCAGTGCTCTCCATCAAAAGTAGAAAATCGGCACAGGCATATAATCAAGCAGATCGCATACATTGGAAATTTTAATCATCAATATACAGAACAGAAGACCAAATGATTCTTCTTTATGGAAACAGATTTTATTAGAGAGACTTTTCTCTTCTTTTGTCTCTGCAACACAGACCCATAAAATCAGATGCAAAAGTCAACTTCATCAATGAAACAAGATAGATCCCCATCTAAGTTGCAAAGTCTGATAACCAAATTACTCCATTTCAGACTAACTGGAGAATCAATGACTCATCACAAAGCGAAAACATAACATCAATCAATGAATCAAGCAAGGGATGGAAAAAATTCATACCAGAGAAAAATCCAGCAGGAGAGCTGCTCTGCCTTATGAGATTAGAGCTATTTGCACTACTTTGCATCCCAACTCGCCCCTGATTCTCCACCCCAATTGACACAGGGTAAGATCCAACAACTGTACCCCCTCCAGCATTCACAGCAGCTTGATAACCCACAGAAACCGGGACGGTGGCGCTATTAACAGAGGAAAATTCATTCACCTTCTGTTGAAAACTCGATTGGTTTGGTCCAATTTCGTTCACTTCCAATTTCAGCTGCGGCTGATGCTGATGGTGATAGGGATTCCCCTGAGTTGGTTGATGAGGAATTCCATTACTGGGTTCATTGCAGTTCAGCAAAGCAGTAAACATTGAGTCAGATTCTGAGCTATCACTATTGGTGCTGTTCTTGCTGCTGCCCCCATCTAAGTAGCTGGCAAAAAATGAACTGGGAGCTGATCTATATCTCATCAATCCACTACCATTTTGTTCCGGCTGAAAATGGTTTGTGAAAAGATCTGAGCTTGAACCCAACATTTCTTTGCCACTCTTGAAGAAATCCCCATCTAAAAACCCATTCTTGAAACCAGTATTCCCACTGCTGGAAGAATACATAAGATTACTACTAACATCTTTAGACATCGCCTCTGGACTATACATATCTGCAAAATTCCAGTCAATACCCTTCAAAGATAACAGCAGCTAATCAAAGATTTTAAAAAAATCCTAGTAGCCCACTTCAAATTCAGTCTTGAGACAGCTGAGATTTGAGGGTTATTGAGAAATTCAGGAAAGGGGAGGAGAATGATGGATAAGGAGGCAAAGTAAGTTAACTAAAATCTCTCTCTGCTGTTTCTGCCTTTCTGGTGTGTGAGTGCGTGTTTTTTTTGCTAGAAATGGTATGGTGGCATGTGAGAGCCAGAGAAGCTAATGGGGAAATGGAGCTATGGCCTAATGGAAGACTGCTAAATCTGGAAATATTTATGGAGTTTCATTTCTTCAGAATGCCCTCCCTTTTTATCCTATACCACGGATATGAATTGCTGACTAAGCTTTGGGCCCCATCATGTGATCCCCGCCCCGCGAATTGACTAATCTGACCCCGACTATGTACGTAATGTTAGAACCTCTTTTTTATTCTTTAACCAAAAAAACAGAGAAATTCGTTTTTATCATTTCCGGAAATTAGTTTATTCTGTTATTCTTTATGAATTGTTTTGAAATGGAATAATTCCATGATAATACTGGCTATGTTTGGATCCCTTTTTCAGTACATGTGTTTAGGTATTTTTTGTATTAAGAATGTAAAAATGTGCATTAAAAATGTAAAAATATATGTTGGAATGGAACAGTTATGATTTAATTATTTTGAAAAAACCATAAAAAAAACCTTCCAAACAGAGCGTTAATTCTTTATAATGTCTTGCAGTCTTGTACTCTTATCGAGTGGAGTTTTTTCAACATAAACATAAAACCATGTAATTTTCAAACAAGAAGAAAATATCAAATAATCTTTCAAATGAGGAAGAAGACTTTGACTTTTACTATTCATTGCTGGGGTATCCCTGTGTCTCCAAAAGAAAGAAAAACAAATAAGTTTAATTTGTTGCAAATTGAAATAGAAAACTCAACAAACAATAATTTTTAGGGTGGCTGAGAAAGTATCATCTTTGTTTCATATATTTTTTGTAAATTTAAGAAGTCGTAAAGCTAGAATTACTACAGTTTAAATTGGGATGTCCATAATCAAGAATAGCCCTCTGGTCAGATACAATTGTTGTAAAAAAAAAAAAAATTGTTAGTGAAAAACATGAAAAGGTCATTCTTTTCACGAAAATTGGAAGCTAATTTTATAAGAGTTATAGATTATTTATTCAAAGAATTATTCACGAAATCAAAGATGTTACCAAGCATACAAGCTGTGTTACCCGTCAATTTTTGATTAGCGTGAATACTCTTTTTAAAATTTTTAATTTGGTGGTTCCACACCAACCAACCGTAGCTTTGGACATTGGACCAATCACTGAAGAAACATTTTTTTTTTTTTTTTTGGTTCATTTTTTGTTGTACTTATTATCCCATTCCAAATTTATTGCCCTATTATTTATTAAATAAAAATAATGATTATTTTGTTCCAAAATACAATAAACAGCCGGTATATAGTTTTTAAAATTACTACTTTTTTAGTTCCGAAATAATTGTATTTCGTATGTTGCGTGATGAATACAATAATTGTTTATTTTAAAATTTACGCAATAAATGTAGCAATTAATTTGAGACAGAAAAAATCGTGATATTATCTTTTTTCTTCTTTTTTCTTTTTTTGAAAATCAGACTATATCATAGATAATAATTTAACTAATTATCTGAAAGCATTGAAAGTTACGAATTGTTTAAACAATTTAACTGACGTATGAGCCAAAAGACGACTACATTACATATAGATTAATTAAATTGTGGAGGGGGTTATGTTGTTTGACGGCTCGAAAGAGGCGAAGACTGGCGGCTTTTCACATTTATTATGAAAAAAGTAATTTAATTATGTACAAGTTGAGATAAGTGGTTCCTCCTCCCTAAACCAGAAACTATAACCCAAAAAAGTTAAAATTAACACAGTAATTGATAGTGACTGAAATTGCCAAGACGTTTGCCACTTTGCCTAGTTCATGCATATGCTTTATAGTTTATATACCTGTACGAATTTTTTTAATTATTCAATTTAACCTTAGTAAGTGTATATACTTTCGAATTTGATTATTTGATTTTTACTACAGATATAGACAGTTATATATATCTTTAGAAAATTGTTTAGGTCAGGATTTAAGATTTTTTTTTCTTTTAACGCAATTTATACCTCTTTTGCAATTCACTAATTTATAATTTACTTTCTCGATACAGGTTTTTTTTTTTTTTTTCTGTTAACAATACAGAAAAAAAATGCGCTAAAAGGTGTTTCAAACGAATGTCTGTTATTCTTCTTGACATCATGCTAGAATGATAAAATTTCATAATAATTTGAAAATAGATGGAAGTCACAATTATAAAATGAATATTTTTGGTGTAGCTTCTCTTCGTATAACGTAAATAACATAATTACAATTATCACTAGTAATATAATACTTGTAATTCGTTTCATAAATTAAATGTAACGCTGGAAGAATTCATCAATTTCTTAAATAAACATGATCGCAATTCTTGTTCCCTGTTCAGTGAACAAAGTAAGTACATAAAAATAAATGATTAATGATCGTTGAAGGAAAAATTTGTAAATAAAAAATACAGAGAATGGATCATAATTGTTCACAGTTCAACTTCACCTTTACACGTATCTATTTAACCGTTAGAGAATAGTTAAAATTCAGGTTTATCATTTTCAAATTCCTTGTAATTTTTCCCTACATGTATTATCTACTCTAAATAAATAAATGAAATCGACGGGAGTCACTTTTGGATGATGTGCATACTAATGACAAAGTCAGAAATCTCAAAAAAGAAGTATGAGGTATAGAATTTTCAAACATAGCTATTTTCATTACAATATAGAAAGCGGATGTGAAAGTGGTTCAGTATTTTTTTTTCTAATTAAAATTAATTTGTCTTATATATTCCCTCTAACTCCTTCACTTATGGGTACAATTTATTGGTGTTATGATTTTGATAATGATAAGTTAACGTTTCTATCAAAGAGATTGTTAGTAATAAGTATTTATCTCATCTTCACTACATAATTACAAAAAAATAAATGAAAAGTTGAAGATCGAACACACCTTAGAATTAAGCAGTAATATTTGACTATTTCAGGCATGCATCAACGTATTTGTTAATGTAGTTACTATCCTTTTCAAAAAAAAAAAAAAAAAAATGTAGTTACTACATGATCACTTCACCTTATTGTCAAAGTCACTTGGGCTCCCATCTCAAAACTAATTGGCAATGAGTGGGGTGGCCTTTGGAGCTTATAAACAGGTGATAAATTCTTCACGACACTGATGTGGGATTCTTTGTCCCAACACCCTTCCTCAAGCCCGATGAAGTATTTGGCCAATTGAAATTGCACAACATAATTCACCATAAACTCACACGAATGCATGGATGTGATTCACGCAAGTCCATTGGTAATGAGTGGGGCTTGTAAACAGGTGACAGATCTTTCACTATACTGATATGGAATTCTTTGTCCCAACACCCTCCTTCAAGTCAAATGAGGTATTTAGACCATTGAGGTTGCACAACATAACATAATTCACCACAAACTTACCCGTGTGCATGGATGTGATTCACGCAAGTCCAAGGCACACAGGTCCACAACTTTTCACAACAAATTCACCCGTGCGCACGAAAGCTATTGACACAAGTCCAAGGCACACGGGTCTAAGCCCGCACACGCGAGTCCATAGTTACCACAGGTCTACGGATCGTGGGCTCTGATACCATGTCAAAGTCACCTTGGGATCCCATCTTAAAATCAATTGCAATGAGTGGGGTGACCTTTAGAGCTTATAAACAAGTGACAGATCCTTCACGACACCGATGTGGGATTCTTTATCCTAACACTTATTTTAATAATTTAATTTTCATATTTTAATTTGATAAAATAGACTTTAAAATAGGACGTTAAAAAAAATATTTCTCTTCATTCTCAAATAAGGTTTTTTATAAAATTTTCTTTCATTAATGGACTAAAAGATCCCGAGGGTTAAGCTAATTACACATAAATTGCTCTTTAATTTCCTTCAAACAAATGAATGTTTGAAAATATTAAACAAATTTATCCCCGGAATCTCTTGAAGAAAATTTTACCGACACATTTGCCACTATTGCAATATGAGATGATAGCTTAATTTTGTTTCTATTATTATCATATTTTACTTTTTGGTGTTCTTTCAGTTCATGAAATAAGGAGAGAATATTCAAAAGATATACCATGCATGAACAGTTAGTCACGAAAATTGATGTATTTTCGTAACATTTTCTTTCAGTTTTGAAGATAGTGGTATGTTGATTTTAAATAGTAATTTCCTTACAGCTCGTTGATAATATTTTGTTATTACTATAACAATATATTAGATGCTTGGCCCAGGCAGATGCCCGGACGCCCCCTCTACTTTAATTTTGTGTTAATAGATAAATGAATTTTTTATTTAGAAAAAATAAAATAGCTACACATTTATTTTTTCCCTTTTTTAGCCAAAAATAAAAATAAAAATAAAAAATCATCTGCAAAAGAAGAAAAAAATATTAAAAAGTACACCGATGCAGAAATCATACAAAAGAATGTGAATTAATAAAAGGGATAAGTTTATGGATAAATTTAAATCCTATCTTAATTTGATTGATAAATGATAAGTGTTATGAGTTAAAATTGTGTAGATATTTTTGTAAATTAGTTTTTGTTTTTTCAGATAAGAAGTTTTTTTTTTCTTTTAAAAAGGGATGACACGTGGCAGAATGGTTAAAGCAATATGGTGCATTTGGAGCCAAATTTTTTTAATAAGAAGTTGGCACATCAACATCCTGTATTCTGCTTTAATAGGGTAAAAAGGGATTCAATCTACGCAACCTTTATTTGTATTTAACCTTAATTAACAAAATAAATTACAAATTTGTGTAGTGTCTTTAACTTTTTGTTTCTTTTTCTAAGGGTGCAGTCAATTCTTGGCACGCGCATGTATAACACGGCTTGCTAGTTATGTGGAATTGTGGATAATATTGATGATTGGTTTAGGTTTGACTGACCAAAAAAAACATTTGAAATAGAATGCACATTTGGTTTTGATCCATCCGCGTCTATGATGTGTAAAAAACATATCAACTAGTTGTAATTGTATATGATAACCAAGGTAACGACAAAATTTCACTTTTCAAATAACGGACAGAAGTATTATAAAAAATTTAAATTTATTTTATGAATGTAGGAGTAGATTTCAGATGCAGTGAATGTTGTTGTTTACATGTACTCCGTATATAATTCACTGAACCTTATGAAACTGGTCTTGAGGAGACTTGCAAGTTGCAAAACCTTTGGTCTTAAACCACACATATGCCATACCTTTAAAGCAATGGCAAGAAACACGATGGTTCTGGCCGTTTTCTTTATGTGGCCATTTTATTTTCCCTCTGTCCCCAAGCAAAAGGGTCATTTTTCTGTTGGAAGTACTTTTCCTCAAGTTTTAATTTTGTTTTTTGGGTAATTTTTAACGGTAACTTCGAAAATCGCCACGGTAAAAAGTGGTGGACATGTTGGCCTTAAGAAACAGTGCTAGAGCGTTTCAGTTCGAGTCCGAGTGGCAACGTGCCACCTTAATTATTAGAAATATCAGATGCACAACTTATCTGATTAGTTATGGGCAGTATATATATTTAAACGTAAAATCATGGATATATTCGAGTGCAAACATGAGACATCTGATTGAGTTCCTCTCCGCGAGACCCTTCGGGAGAGCCTGTAAATCAATCTAACTACCACAAAGTCATAGAGAATTTAAAAATTATAAAAAATAATAATAATAATAATAATAATAAATTTATTAATGTATGTGGCAGTTCAGAGTGCACATTAGCTAGCTAGCTGAATCATTGCTTGCGTCACGCGTCTTATATACATCATTCGTCAGATTTTGAAACATGTTCATATCTTCGATTTTGAAACACTGTTTGGTTGTTTTTATTTTTTATTTTTTTATAAGTTTTCAATTTTTTTTAATGAATGTCTCATTTGTAATATAATTTTTGATATTCTCAATACACTTTTTTTATATATTCAATAAAAAAATATCTAAAAATACTTACTAAAAAAATAATCAAAAGATAGAATTGTCAAACATGTTTTTTTTTTTTTTATTAATTTCATGGTAGTACATATATATTATAAGAAAATATTGCACAAAAGCACTGTCCAATCCACGACACAGTGATATGGCCATGTTAAAACTGCTTACGGAAAACCAAAGTGGAGCACATTGTATTTTTAGTTTTGTCAACTGGCAAAAGCCACCGGACCAAAGACTAAACAAAAACACATTAGTACACTAAATATATTTGATTTGTCTCTTTTCTCTACGAGTAGTTAAATACTTCGATGTATTGCTACATTTTTTTCGGGTCCTTCTCCGGTGTATGCGTAGTTCAACTGTCCAATTCGTGGGGATAAATGGTTACACAAAATAACAAAATACGCTATTGGTAGGTCAGAATTAAATTATTTTTCTCTACCGACATGGCTACATCTTCCTCTTTTATTTATTTTTTTTCCTTATCACATATTTAATTTAAGTCAACTTTTTCCCCTCTTTTGTGATTACGAAATACTTCTGAACCTTTGACCAAGTAGAAAGTCAACCCAAAAGAAAAATGGGGAGAGGTCAACCCTGATATTTCAGAAGCTTTCACACGAGTATGAACATGGAAGTGAAGTCCACCCTCCCTTTGTTGTCTCTTTGAAAATATTTTGTCCAACCCCTAAGAATCAAATCCTTCAACTTGAGGCGTCTTTTGTTTGTATGATCAAAAATATACTTTTGTTTTATTAATTTTTGCCTAATTTTTTGCCTAGTTGCTTTTAATTCATGTTTATTTTGAAGTCAATCTCTTTCTATATATTAAAAAGAGTATAAAAGTATAATGATTCATTTTGGGTCAAAACTCACGGGTTTCTGCTTCACAAGCAATGTAATGCTACATAAGTGCTTTATCATTACAATATTGGGCGCACTCCAGCAATATGTCAATATGTTTAGTATTTAAACGTAACAGCTTAACGCAAGTCTGAGAAAATATCAAAGAACTCATTTGATGCTCAAATTCAATAACTCGTCCTCTCCGAACCAGACTGAAATAATGACTGCGGTAAAATTGATAAATCAATGTAATACTCTCTTTGTTTTGACAATGATTGTCACTCTATAACTTTTTGGTCATTCATATTTTCTAAATTTGAAGCATTAAAATGCTATCTATCGAATAAACGAATGGACTTACATCATCATAGATCTTACAATTTTCTTTTGAGTACCAAACAAAGGTGACTTTTTCTTTGAGTAGTATTATACCATATCATCTGAACCTTATAGGCAAAATTCCTCAAACCAAAGGTGATGAACGCCAAATTGAACATGGACATAATCGGACGTGATGTAGTCGTTCATTGTACAAAGAACAGAAACCAGTGAACACCAAATTGAACATGGACATAATCGGACATGATGTAGTCGTTCATTGTACAAAGAACAGAAACCAGTGAATAATATGATTTTGACGGTGTAACCTCATGTTTTTTTGGTATATTACACACCGGTGTCTAGAATCATTATTCCGACAAATTCGAATTCGAGTCGGGTGGGTTTTTTTAAAAGACAAAATTCTCGTAGCAAATATTTTAATCACTATTACATACATATGTCCAGGTTTAATTTCAGTTATAGTTAACCTGACCTAATACTTTTACCATTTGAACAAAGGGGTGGTTGATTGTAAACTCATATTTTAATTGCTAAACAGAAAAGTATAACTTGATCTGATCGTTCATGAATGGATCAAAGGATTAATTACATGATATTGATTTGAGGATGAAGTTTGGCCGGGTGATAATAATTAAATAAACGTCTTTCTTATTTCTCTTTGTTTTTTTCAGTCACATATTAGTGTTTCACACCTATATTGATCCCATTTAAACATAAATCATGCATGCACGCCCACCAAATTTTAGAATGAAGTGGTAAAAAATTTAGTTAACACAATAAGCACAAATCATGGGAGATATGGACATAATTCGTGAACCATGTACTAGGGTTTGAGAGCACGTATAATTCAATTGATACAACAAAATCTACCAGGAGGCTGAAATAATACAAGTCATGACTTTCTCGCAAGTCTCACACACAACTCCATTCTTTTAACATAACCATCCAACCCTAATAACAACTTTTACAAACTTAAAAACATAAGATATTCTCTATGGCTACTTATTCTATTCCATCCATACATACATAACCACCACCGACATTTGTTTATTTCCATGCAGGTCGACCCTTTGAACTCTTGTTATGTCCATCTTTGCAGGTTCCCCGAACTCTAGCCCTCCGACTCTGTGGGTGAATCCCGGCACCGGAATTAATATTGCTGAAATCTTTTTGCTCACCTCCGTTCTTGCCAAGACATTGCTCTTGTTCCAAATCGTTGAAATCATCACCCCAGCCTATTGAGAAACCATGAACCTTGTAAAACTCTTTACCAAAAATAATCACAACTTGTTCACTACTTTTAACCGTGGTATCAGCGACCGAAGCACTGTAATCCTCATCAACATCATTGGGAAGTTCTTCATCATCACCGACTTGCGAGACCCGATCGCCAAAGTCATTTAGAAGCTCAGAATCAACCTCCGAATCCCAATCGATTTCATCAATATACTTGTCTTCTGGTTTATCATCAGACCATGAAATAATGTCACGAAGAAGATAAACTATTTCTTCGCGGTTTGGAAACCGTTTATTCTTGCGATGGAACGATGTCATAAGACCACGAAATCGCGCCTTGGCGTTGTGAAAGGCCTCTTTGCAGGCTGAATCGTCCCACTCGCGTACACGGCTGTAGAGGTGCTCATGCTTTTTCATGTCAACAAAAGTTTCCCAATCGTATAGACCAACAACTTCAACAAAACTCTTCTCCACATAAAACTTTTGATGAGATGATCTACAACAACTTGAACCCTTTTGACTGCTAGTCATGTATGTTGTCCGCCCGGGGTTTTTAATATTCTCCATGATCTTCTTCTCCATCGTGCGTGCAGTAGCCGCTGAAAGAAAAACTTCAAGAATCACTCTCTTCAAGAAGTATTACGTTTTTTCCCTGCCTGAAGATGTTGGCTGATGATAGGGTTTTTTTTTGCCTGCAGAGATTGTATTTATAGAGACGTAAATCTTTCACCTTTTCCAACTTGGATTTTGGTTAACATTTTAGTAATTACTTAATTCCGTTATTGGGAGTCTAGATTATTAATCCTAGTCTAGTTAGTATTTAGGTATCATCTGATTTTGATTTTTTTTTCTTTTATTGTTTAAAAAATTGCAAAAAACCCCCCAATTTTGAAGGAGAAAGCAAGAGGGACTTTTAGTGACGTAATTCTTTCACCTTTTCCAACTTGGATTTTGGTTAACATTTTAGTAATTACTTAATTCCGTTATTGGGAGTCTAGATTATTAATCCTAGTCTAGTTAGTATTTAGGTATCATCTGATTTTGATTTTTTTTTTTTATTGTTTAAAAAATTGCAAAAAACCCCCCAATTTTGAAGGAGAAAGCAAGAGGGACTTTTAGTGACGTAATTCTTTCACCTTTTCCAACTTGGATTTTGGTTAACATTTTAGTAATTACTTAATTCCGTTATTGGGAGTCTAGATTATTAATCCTAGTCTAGTTAGTATTTAGGTATCATCTGATTTTGATTTTTTTTTTCTTTTATTGTTTAAAAAATTGCAAAAAAACCCCAATTTTGAAGGAGAAAGCAAGAGGGACTTTTAGTGCAAAACAAAATAGGAAGAGATCCGGTTCTATACTCATTATAGACTCCTAAATCACAGAGTGTTTGAAGTAGCAATTTATTAGAGGATGAGATATTCAGTTGCTAGGAACAATTTTATGCCAAAATCAATTCATAATAATAATGTTCTATCTGTCTCGTAATGATTGCACGATTTAATTTTTACTTTTCATTTAGTACAAATCATTAAGGAAATACAAATTCAATCAGTACAACCAATTTTGGATAGAAGAGTGCAGATAATAAGTAGAAGAAGAAATGTTCCGAAAAGCTAATTGTGTTGCTGATTTTTTTATTTCTCTTGTCGCAGTTGGTGAGATTGTATGATCCTCACATGGAACAATTTTTTGGTTCGAACATGATATTATTGTTGTTTCCTATCAAAGAAATGTTGTTGTGTCATAATTTAGGCTTTTGCCTCTCATTTTGTACCAAAAAATAAGTGAAGAAGAAGAAAGAAGAAAGGCAGTTGGCTGAACAATTAGAATTATGTTCATTAACTGAAATTGACTAAATTCACTATTGCCTGAAAAAATAAATCAATATACGTCCCATTCCAATTAATGGTCCATTTTTTTTTTTGGTTTCAATACTGAAATTTCAAAACTTTAAAAAATCTTAAAATTCTGATGAAATCAAATGTATTCTGTTCGTTTCATGATATTAATAATTCAGTTTTGAAAATTAATTTTTCTAATTTTTAAGATATACTTTTCGAAATAAGATTTCTAGAGTTGGACGAATGAGAGACCAAAATACAAATTATGTTCTCCCGAGTAATATCCAAGTACCTTGAGTGATACATATGTCTTGGCTTGCTCTTCAAAAATATGCTATGTAGTAGGTATATGAAATTTAAATTTGAGGTGAAAAGTTATTGACCGGTGGCAAATTTCTTTCATCTTGTTTTTCACCAACTAAGGGCATCTCCAACCCAACATCCCTTTAAACTCTACATTTAGAGTTGAAACAGTGAAATTCCACTACTTTTACAGTTTAAATAGTGTCAGCATTTTCAATCCATTCTCTCTTTAAAATTCCTCTAAAAAGAATATTTTCAGTATATTTTATTATTTATTATTTTTTTTGTAATCCTAAAGTGAAACGTAGGAGGAAATCAAAATGTCTTATAATAAGAATAGAATGGAGTATATTCCATCACTACAATTAATTACATATAAAAAATTTTATAATTACGCATATGATCGTTAATTTAACTAATAATTAGTAATATGAATCATTAAATTTAAATTTCAGAACTTTTATGTAATTAATTATAGTAATTTTTTTCATCGTATATTATATCAATTAAATATTAAAATAGCAAAAAAAATTGGCTTAATAATTCTAATAAAATATCATTACTAATATTACATTTAAATCATTAAAAAGACATTACAAATACAAGTCAAAAAATATTACAAAGATTAATTTGACCACAACTACAAATACAATTTAAATAAGACTTACATATAGTAGTGTTTCTTTTATGTAATTTAAATAACACTTACATATATTATGATTATCAATTTTTCCTATTAAGACGTACAATTACACATACATATATTTTCTATTAAGACGAAAATTCTCTTATTAAAATGATATATTATAATTATTGGATTTTAATTCTACTAATTAACATTAATTAAAATAAATATATAATCAAATTATAATAATTAAACTAATTAATATATAACTATGGCCAAAATGACCCAAATAAAAAGTCCTAAATGCTTCAAATTGGCCAAAAAGGAAAAGAAGCCCAAAGAAAAATCCAAAATTTGGCCCAAATTTTAGGGGAAAAAAAAGAGGAGTATGAAGTGGGTGAATAGTGCTCCGCCAAATTTGAAGGAGGGGAAAGCACTTTGACAGATAGAAACGGAGCGGAGAGCATTGGAGCGCCTGCTCCGCCAAATTCAACGCGTTCGTCCAGTTTAGTAGACGCGTTGGAGATACTCTAAGGCCATGAAATGTCTCGTCACACCAATCATCAAATGCAAATCATAGCAAAATTTCACAAGTTACTGTCATGTATTTGAGAGCAAAACCAGATGGGTAAAAAATGATTTTTCGGATAATTCAAAGTGCATGCGATTCTCGAAAAAATTAGGGCCATGTGTCTTTAGTTAATTTATTTTTTAAGGTTGAATCAATCACTATACAATGATCATACCAAAATTAAGCACATTAATAATGCTACTTTTGATCTAAAACCGGATGTGGGCTCCCCAATTAAACCGGCCACCATCTTTGTACCAAAATGAAGGTTTCAAGTTCAATTAACATCTTGGGTTGGCTCAGGATTTAGGCTTCATGCAAGAGTATTGAATGCAGTGTATTGGAATCATTCAATAATAGTATGACGGACGAAAAATGTCCATTTCAATACAAGAGACTAAGGAATTTATTTAATTAAATGACTGAAAATATCTATAGATTTGAAATGTAAATGACTAATAAGAGTTTGATAAATCATAAATAATTCCTTTTTTAATTCATCCCCCCGGTAATTTTCTTTTATTTTATTTTATTTGAGAAACATTGTTTGTATTTTTCCAGATTGTGCAATTTGGATCATACTTTATGATGGAATTTACTCACTTGGTTTGTTATTTTCTCAGCCAATTTATTCACCCCCTGAGAAATTCACAGTGCCTATAGTCACATATATATATTTCAATAACGTTAACCGGCCGACATCAAAGTGCATCAAGAATCTTTCGAAGGAATCATTTAAAACGCCAGAAAAATTATTTTAATTATTGAGTTCCCTGTCCCAGATTATTTTTGAGACCAGGATGAGATAGAAAACATATTTCTTCTAGTTGAGACGCCATTTTCAAGCAACTCATGATTGACCGGTTTCTATGCATTCTGATACTCTGTTCAGTTTCAATTTCATGGCATTTGTCTAATTAATGGTTTTAATACACAAAACATTGATAATCCTTGTACATGGATGGCACCAAAAAATTGTCATAAATATTACTGATTTTAGTAAAAAAAAAAAACTCAAAATTTAATGTAAAATATTTTTCTGGACAGATCTGACAAAGAAAGAATCCAAATGCTGAGTACCCGTTCTAACCTATTTGATGTCTGATGAATTAAACAAACTTGGAAATATCTAGTACACTTGTATAGTGACAACTTACAAGCATAGATTTAAGCTATATAATACAATACAGTACAAAAGTGATGTCTTCTCAAAGAATTGCGTCTAGATACATACAACATGAAAGCTTGTAGCTAACAAGTTTATGCGAAGGTAGTATTTCTTTCTTCTCAAAATAATTATCCAATTTAAATTATCATTTTAGCATAATTTCTATTATCAAGCTTGATCCATTTTCGTCAGGAGAGGTGGCCGTTTTCCCATAATAAATTAAACAATTTTTTTTTTCAGCGAAAAAGTTTAAATATATATATATATATATATGAAACACAGTCGGTTTGAAACAGGTAAAATAGTTCCATTTTTATTGATTGTCGAAATTGACACATTTTACATGAAATAGTAAAAATGGAGTTAAGTCCGAGGATAGGAAATAATTTGATAAACTTATTTTTCATTTTCAAGAACATGATAATAGATGCAGTCCGTTTACACTTAGCCCTAGTAACCAAGCTATCATCCAAAAAATAATATTCCAAAAGAATAATCTCCGTGATAAATGAATATTTGTATCCATATATTGTATAATTTTTTTTAGAATATAGATAGTAATAAAAAAAAGTAAAAAAGTTAAATTTTATAGCGATTTGTTTTTTAGTTTCCCCGTACAATATATTACGTATTATTATTATTTCCAAGTTTAGATGTGCACCCTGGGGTATCTTTGGTCACCGTCTTAGTTCATCTTCGCAGCGAACCTGCTACGAAGTACAAAGTACCAACTGACCTCCGTATTCCCTAGAAGAACCATCAACATGAAATGCAAAACCTCTAACAAAGCATCAAACCCAAATTACATTGATACATATAATTAGAAAGAATGTCAACAAACAAATCAGTATTTGACAAAGGAAAATTTAGATACAGTTTACCATATTTCAGCCTGAAAAGCAAAAACACAGATTCTAGTTGCTTCAATACATACAAAGAGTTCAAGTGATTCTAAAAAATCCATGAAGTAGAGGCACTTGAAAAGAATTCCTCAATAATATGCTTTGCGAGGATTGTTCAACGGGTTTGGCCTATAGCGATATCCTAGCATCATCCGTTTCTTATACTGCTCATAAATATCATCTTCAGCAGTAACTTCTCCAGGTTGGTGAGCACCAACCCCCAGGTTATCTTTTTTCACACCACCAGCAGCTATTGGATCGGCAATACCACTTCTGGAACTCCCAAGGCCCTCACCTACATCATCAAAAACAGCGCCCCAATGTCAATACCTGATGGTCTCAATATTAAGCAAAAAGCCCACAATGTAATTGATTAATTTAGTTCAAATGTTTAAAATAATGACGAATGACGAGTACCAACGTTCAGATCAGAATCTCTTTGGCTCTAAAGCAAAAAGATAGTCTCAAATAATCAAAATTAATATCTGTACATCAACAACACTATGCCCAATGATATATGTGAAATAGTCGCTGAAACCTAGTACCATTGGCTAACATCATTGAACCAAGGAATGGGAGGAGTACTGATAAGGGATGACAATAGTTTATTATGAGAAAAAGATGGAAAATTGATGAAGTGAAAGCTGACGATTCTCTGATGTCAGATGCACAAAATGCAGGAAGAAGGGAAGGGGGACGGTTTAAGATGTAGAGTGTAGATAGTTCCAGAAAAGCAGTGCAATATGGGTATACCTTCTTTCCAACCCATTTTTGACAGAAGTTTGTGTCCAATATTATCAGCCTGAATTTTTGCCTTATCTGCAGCTTCCTTAGCAGCTTTTTGTGCGGCAGCATCATTGCAAGAAGCCATGAACTTATCAAGTTCTTCCTGAGGAATATAATCACCCATGTGATGTCCTTTTTTCCCAGAAGCTGTGAAACAACAGTTAATGCAAATTTGTTATTAGAAATGGTGAGAATACAGCTATTTTTCATCCATCAGATTTGAAGTGAAGGAACATGCATGCAAGAAACAAACTTTAAAAGAGTCTGCACCCTATAAGAGATTGTTCTAAAACATGGAGGATTCCATAGCCTAAAATTACCTCTAACTAGGTTCTAGCAAGCACAATTTGAACTAACCTTGAAGTGAAGCCGGAGGAGGCATCTCATCCTTCGATGCTTTAGGCGGCCGCAACTTTTCTTCCTGTGCAGCCTTCTTCATATAATATTCCATCATAGCAATAGGATCAGTTGGCGCAACAGAGTCACCTGCAAGTAAACCTTCCGTCATTACGAACTCCAATATTGAAGAAATCATTAAATGAACGTAGTCCTCTTCAACAACAAAACATTACACCAATGTACTCGGTAACCAATCATGTAAGTGCGCAATGATGGAGGTATCCACCATCAGTTTATTCCCAAATCATTCAAGCTGCCTTTCCTCATCATCCTATCACTTCCCTAGTGATTAAGATCAGGACGCGACATTGCACATGTACTTAACATATTTCTATTGCCTAAAGATATTCAGGCAAGTGAACTCAACCCCACTCATCTTGTCCTCCTCTTGTCATATTCCTTAAAAGCTAGGAATATAATTAGGAGGCTACATAATATATGTATCTTAACGTCTCCATTAAAGACATGCATCAGAAGAATAATTTCTACATTGACTTTACATAGTCGATGCTCTAAGACAATCAGTGACAAAATTTCCAAAAGGGATAAAATTAAAGCACAATAAACTTCTTATTTTAGGCCATCAACATAATTCTAGACAAGAAATTTGCTTCCAAACTGGCACTCAGAAACAGATATTTCGTGAGATGGAGATAAGTCAACAAAATTTAGAGTAAACCGTAAGTTTCTCTGAATCTAATCACCCAATAATGCTCAGAAAGTTCCAAGCTGATTCAAAAGGCTGGGAAGAAGAGACAACTGGACTATTTTACCTGATCTTTCAGCTGATGAGGCCTTTACTGATGTAGATGCTCTTGCAATTTCTTCTGTTTCATACAAAGCTGAGGCAGGAATTTGGTATTTTGAATGATTTTGGTATGACCTTTGAGAACCACGAGTTCCACTAGGATTGGCACTTGTAGGGTTAACTGAAAAACAAAGAAAATTAATAGTGATAGGGATTAAATGTTGCTCCACAAAGAGTTAGGCTAGTTTTAAGAAGTAGAACTAGTAGAGATATGATGGGAAAAAAAACTCATGATCATCAAATGCAGATTCCTGTATTAATTTACACATAAGGTGGCATTTATGAACAGTGTATATGCCTGACAATGCAATAATTCATCAGAGAATTGTACTTCGACCAATCAAACTCCAGCTTCAAGAAAAACATGTATTTGCACCAATGGTTACCACAATGGACTCAAGGTTGTCAATCTAAGAATCCTTGCACTCACAGAATTTCAAGAGACAGTAATTGCATCAATTACCTTATTTTACAATAAAAGTTCCATACAGCTACAAGTATACCATAAACATAAAAATCTCAATAGTACTCAGCTCTACCAGAAACTTGCACTTGTTAACATCAGAAAGAAGACAAGACACCAGGTAAAAAGTCAAAAGTCCTAACCACTCTGGAGCTTTTCTGTATCCCTGACTTGCGACAGTGCCTTTTCCTCTTCATTAAGCTGATATTCATAGTACTTGTAGTCAGAACAGCTCTGATCAAACAAAAACCTGAAAAATTACAGGCTGGTTAGAATCTGACCTGGGTATAACATTAGGTAACGAAAGATAAAAGCTAATCACTGTCATGTGATAGAGAAGGGCAGAAACATTTTCGTATTAGAAGGGTAAACAAAGGCAGGTTGCCCGAGCAAAAGACAATATAAAGAAGCTTCAAGACAGAGAAGCATATGACAAAACACCAAAACTAAGCACTAAAATTAAAAGAAACATTTCAGTCCAACAAGCACGCCAAAGGGAGGAAGATCATAATCATAACAATAGCAAACCACATACTTAAAGGGCGTGTCACCAGGATTCTTTTGACGGGTAATATGTTCAAACTGCCTTCCATTCTTGGCAACAAAACTTGCCAATTTGTCTGCAACTTTCTTCACTGTAGGATCACTTGGGGAAGGAGGTGCTGCATGTCACTTAAATAACTGATTAATACCAAGAGCATGAACAAGTTGATGAAAAATACTCTTGTAGCAGGCGTGCCACATTTTCCAAATCTTTCATAGAACATCTCTTTCCAGCAATGTCGATATTGCTTATATTATAAGCTGCATTTATCAGATATGAATAATTCAAGAATGCTTTAGGTCTTCTATCCCCTAAAGCCAAGTAGAGAAATGCCCAGACAACTGTCAAAAGCACAAGAAAAGGGCGATTCCACATAGTATTATGTTTGGAAAAAAATTAGGTAGGCAACTCCACTGAAGCAGCAAGCAGCAGATGAAATTTTTGCAACAAATATACAATAGAGGCTTTACACATTGGAGTGTCAAATAAGCTAAAAGAGCAGAACCTAGCTGAATTAATAGCCATGCAATTAACATGTAGAAATCCTAAGGATTGGTTAGGACGATCATATCAGCACATCTCTCTCCTAGATTCTATAGATTTCACTCTAGTGGGAAGTAAGTAATATGACCAACATTCAAGCACAGGCAGCAAACACACAGCTATTTATCTCAGCATTTTACTTTACTGCTAAACAAGTCGTCGCCGCATTGCAGCTGACTTTCATATTGGAGCCCACAATCTTTAGTCCCCAAATAAACCAGATGAAAAGAAAGTCATTACCAACATCAACTTGTCTTGCTGATTGCTGAGAAGCTTCAGTTGCATCTAACTTTTGCCGCTTTGAAGGCATATCAGGCGGTGAATTTTCAGCTTCCTTGCCTTCTTCATCCTCATCTTCATCAAACTTCACTTGAGGAGCCACAAGTCTTGATTTCTGTTTCAAGCTGAATGCGAGTTTACCACTTGAACCAGTTTGAGATGTTCTCTGAGAACCATTTGCCTTGATTGACACAATTGGTTTTCCAATAACAAGCTTCGGTGTTGAATTCCCAATTTTGCTAGGCCCTGATTTAACTTGTTCAACAGAAGCATTTTTCTCTTTTTCCTTTTGCTCCTCTTGTTGAAGCTGTTTAAACCTCTCCATGAATGACCCATCATTAACAAATAAACTACTTTCTTTTGCCTTCTCCATTAGCTAAAAGCCAGGTTTCTTTGCCGCTGTTTTAGAAGACCAACTGCTTGACAAGTAATGCTTACAAGGTATTTAGAGAACGAAATGGATCATCACCATAAGTCATATATAACAATCATGCAATATCACACACACTATCAACGCAACCTCGACACTGAGATGGTTCATCACTCTGGAAACAAATAACGCAGCACAAAAATATTTATCCACCAGCTACACAGTAAACTCCTACAGGATAAGCACACCTACATACACTGATTTCTCTAAAAGAGAAAACAGATTGTACATCCCGTAATAAAGCTTTTTTAGGGGGCACTGCCTCTAGAAGCCACATGTTGTAGTAACAACAGCATCACTCGTTATGCAGAACCATAAAGAAACAACCGCATTCACATCAATAATCCAAAAAGGCAAGAAACAATTAAACAAGTTGTTTGACATATGCCCATAGGACTTTCTTCTAACGTATCAGTTTAATTAGCCCCAAACCATAATAAGCCCACCACCAAAAGTAGACAACAGAAAACAAAAATATCAGAACCCTCAAAATTTCTTAAGTCAACCCCAAAGCTTTTATCATCCGCGACAAAAAGAGCTTCTTTATCCCCCAAAACTTAGTCCCAGAACAGCTTATTGACCCATCAATAGACCAAAACCATCCGAAACTCTAAAACAAAGAGGAAAAACACGTCAAACCAAACAAAAAAGCTAAGAAAGTCCTAATAAAATGGAATAAGAAGCATCAAACAATACATTCGAATACTGATTATAATCAACCTGCCCGATGGAACTGAATCAATTGGAAAAAATATTGACCGCTTTTCCTCAATAATCTTTAGATTTAGACCCTAATCAAAAACTGGAGTATTCAATCCGGGCAAAATTAGCTAGCTAGGAACCGATCAGAACCCTAAATCGGGTTCCAAACTAGACATCGGAAATCAGATGAATTTGATATCATTTTGCAATAATTTTTGAAGCTTTGTTTACCTCAATTTCTCCAGCCAATAAAATCCGCTGCTTGTGAGAATGGGGGAATTTTGCAACTTTGTGTCTTGTCTGTTAGGGGCACTTCAGATTTCGGTGTTTTATAAAATTGAATAAGCTTTTCCTCTTAAGCCCTTGGATTTTCTTATATTATGCCAACTAACCACCGACTTATTATCTGTACCGTTCCTAATTTTATTGTTTGTAAAATATAGTTTAAGACCCTTCAAATTTCAAGGAGGTTTCAAGGTTTGGTCTTCATATTAGCAACTTCATACTTTTATTCATCTTTACTCTTTAGTGCCATCATTTTATATATAAAAAAAATCCACCCCATTAGATCCCACTTAAATTTGGGTAAACCCCCCCTTACAACCCCTGGTGGGGATCGAACCATGACTTATCACCAGGAAAGACAGCAACATAACCACTAGGTTGTCATTCAATTCCCCTCTTTAGTGTCATCACTTTTTGGTCTATTATAGTACACACTTTGTCCCAAAAAGATTCAATTGGATTTTTTATTTTGTGCATTTTCATCAAAAGGAAAAAATTAAATTGGACAATAATTTCGAGATGGAGAGAGTAATAACTAACAATTAAAATCACAAATTCCAAGGCTAGATAAACATACTAATCAAATCAAATAATTAATTGTGGAGTTATATGTAACTCTACACATCATTAATTTGAGTATGTAAGTTATATTTAACCTAACTAGTTATTGAAAATAAAAATTAATTCAACCAATGAGCATGCAAGTGGGCATCTACTTCTTCTTTTAGTGGGTTAAAAGAGCATCTACTTTAATATTGCCCATTGTGCAACAACTATGGTCAATATATAGAACCTACAAAAAAATTTGGTGTTGAGACGGAATATGTAAATAATATGATTCTAGTAATCAATAATGACATATATATAGAATAATTAACAAGTAAAAAACGAAAGGAATAATGGATCAAAGCACACCCATTCATTTTTTTTTCTTTAGGGTTTATACAAAGTTACGAGAATAGTTTAGATTATAGACACATCGTGAAGCCCTAAATGAAAGCTAGAGTGTCAACCATGCTGGTTAAAATATCCCAGATTGATAGATGCTGGGGGTGATAGATATGTAAAGCTCAGCTGTATGGCATACTAATAATTTGGGTTAACCTTTTTGGGTATAGCAAGAATGAACACCTAAATAATTAATGGGACAGACCTACACAGATACGATGTTACATCATACTTGTAAGTTTTTCGAGTAAGTTTCCCTAAAATGTATCAACACTTTTTAGTAATTATGTCTATGAAAGGGAAAGTAAGGGTAGATTGAGTATAAGGTATGAAAATCTGTCGAACGAATCAATTTTTCAAAAGTAAACTTGGTGATTGGTTTCAAATTAAACAAATGAAGTATATCTACAAGAGATAAGGAGTGACTAGGGTCCAGTCGATTGAACCATTCGGTTGAATATGTTAGCCGTTGGATGACAAAACAATATTTGTAACCGTAGGATAAAAAAAGACATGCAATAAGATACAACCACGCACACAATATAATTTGTACATTAACTTGTACAGCAGGTTGCCTTCCACTTCCACTTTAATCGTTAAAAACTTAGTCCACTTTAAGCATTTATTTTTGGTGTGCGATAGAGAATATTTCAAAAAGTAAAAGAAAACAAAGGATTTTTAAAGAAAAAAAAGGGAAGGAAAGATCGGTGAAAATTAGCCTTTCTTTTAAATATTTATCAAAAGTCATGACAAATTATCAGCGCTCTTTCTTTTCTGCCTTTCTAGAGATACACTCTCGCACACAGTAAAATCATGTCGGCGGGGAAACCGGAAGGGCGAGGCAAATGGATCTCAGGAAGGAAGTTACGGTGGCGTTCCCCAAATTCTTCTACCAAAGTGAAATGAATATGGAGCTAAGGAAAAATAACGGCACTATGATTAATAGACAAAAGCATTGTCTAATTCCCATTTCTACAACCACTGGAAAGATGCCGAAATTGCTCGTAGGCTTCGACAAAATTCCAGTGAGTGTGTGCAGCCGCTATACGATTTAATGACAGAAATGGTTCGAGCACTGATGCAAAATACTTGAAGAAAGGGAAACAAACTAAGTCCATGTACCCAAAATCTATTTTTCCTCTGAACATACAACACTTGCAGGCATCAGTATTTGGAAATAAAGATGGAGATCACATAATGAAAATATCTAAGCAAGGGAAGATAGCTTTGATCTACTCGCGAATTCCCTCATACCTAGTTACAGTGTTGTAGCTGCAGCTAATCCAATTTATGGAACATATGACCGCTCGTTGACTCCCCACAAAGCACACACATTGGGCTTCCAGATTCTTTACTTTCTTGTTTTGATGTGTTATTTATTGTGCTGGATCATATGGACCCTAATATTGATTGTCAAATTTCAGATTGTGTCAACAAATGAGAGTCGTTGAAATAGAGGGAGTAGTGAACATTGGAGTTATTGTTCCTTGCTCGAATGTGGAGATATTATTCCTGTTAGAGATAATATTCTATACTAGGGACGCGAATGTGGAGTATTGTGTGTCAAACCCATAAGAAATCCTACAGGTGCGGAGAATTACCATGCTTTGGACGTTACAGTTACATGGACACCTGAAGGCAATTGACCTTATGAAATTATGTTAGTCTCTAGAAAATTGGAAATGTAATCAATTGTGATGATTTAGGATGATAATGCTGAAATCTTCCGAATTTCTCTACAGGAGAGGGGAAAAAAAAAGAAACAACAAAGATGGTAGATGATGAAATTCTTAAGTCTAAATTAGCTTGTGAAATGTGAATTGAGAATATGATGTTCTTAACCATTTAAGACCAAACGTTCAAAGATTAGAGAAGTTATATTTTCAAGTTTGGAAAGTTTGCGAATTAAAGAATGAGTGTTTGATTTAATTACATAATATTCTGACGATTCTGGGTAATAATTACACATACATAAGTTAATTTAGTATTTATCCCAGTAACTAACATGATTTGTAGTTTACCAATAAATTTAGGATTTGTTAGTATACTCCTCACCCCATAATAATATTTGGGTTGCCAATTTATTTTCGTTAGTCTTTAACTAAAGGGTTCAGTCACAAATCAAAATTGTACCATATAATTTTCCACATACATAAACACACACACACGCACGCACGCACGCACGCACGCACGCACGCGCGCGCGCACACACACACACGCACATAGATGGGAAATTCACGAATGAATTTGCCTTAAGAATCTAATACTATAATTACATATCTTTAACAATTTCAAGTCTGGTATGCGAACTGGGTGATTACATATATTATTTGATTGAATTCAACTGAACTTACAGTCTCTCACAATTTTGCAATTTCCGGCAAAGAAAACCAGAATTGCGATGCTCTGTATTTTGTTCTCGTCTCGTAAGAAACCTACTTTGATTTAATTTGGGGGAGAAATGCAAAATTCTGGTGATGATAACTGATTATATTGGTGGACTAATTCAAATAGGATTATACTATGTGCATAAATCTATAAAGTTTTATGGTACATCTCATTTAATCCTTTGGCTATAGTGGTTCTTTATCATCCGAGGTTAATATTAATGGCTGAATGGTTCAGTTGATTGGACTCTAGCCGCTCATATATATATATATACATATATACATATATATATATATATATTTTGGAGAAAAGCGAAACTCTCTTATTTTATATATATAGTTTGATAATTAGTACGATACATTTCGTACTATACATTAATTTGATTGCCCGTGATCTTTGTGAGAGATCAAACAACATATACAATAATCTTGCAAATTCATTTTTAACTCCCAGGATCATAAGAGTCCCATGCTTGTTAAAAAACAAAATCTGAATAAGTCGGATTCGCGACAGGCGCAAGGTGGAAGCCATCATCCCTCACTGACCAAAAGAAATCTAGACGCGGCGAGCTAATTCTGCGGAGAAACTTGTAACCTTGGTGTTTAGACGCTGATAAGTAGAAAACTCACATCTCCACTGGAAAGTTCCCTGAGCATTTATCACGGCTTCAAAATTAAAGCCTAGGTGAGTAACATTGAGTCTCTGTCTAAATGGAGGGTCATTTGTGCTTGACTTGCAAACCAAATCCAGTGGCCAGTGCCTAACAGTAAGATGGTCCATTACAATAATTGTGTAACGTTTGCCGACGATATCTACATTTGCATTTGCTAATCCAATCAGGAAAATTACTATATAATTTTATTCCTTTTGGCGGCATATCATATATATATATATATATATATATTATATATCGTCAGTTCAATCAAAAGGGATAACACCTGGTATTGGGAAAAAAAATTGTTGAAAAATTAAAGACAAAACTAAAGAAGGACTCTGGGGCTCCAGGTGGTGGAACGTGACTAACGAACAATAATCTATTTTATCTGGGTTTAAATAGTTTGTTTAGACTTGGGATAGAAGAGATCTTGCAGGTTTGTTGGATGTACAACCCGCAGATAAAAAGGACATAATGACATGCCTAAATATACCTACAAGTGATTTCGAATGGTTGTTGTGTAAGGAATACAATGAACCATTGCCCGTTATATGTTCTAATTCTTTTTTTGCTAAACCAACTTTAAACATGATCATAAACTTTGAAATATGTCGATTAAATGTTGTAGGAAAAGAGTGACTCTACACAGGGCTATCAATTCCCACTAGACATGTGAACTATCCTCTCATTTCTAGGCAATAGTTGATAAACAAAATTAAATTAAAAACTCGAAACTTATTAGGAAACTCTATACACTAATTGACTAAATAAAAGGTTGCATACTTTTAATTTTACGTGTTCATAGAGATTTTCATCGAAGGTGATTAATCCTATAAAAATTCTCAAAATCCTTGCCTCATGGAGGTATGTTATTGGCATTAATCCCTCAAATACACCCTTATAAATTTGACTACAACACAAAATAACTTACTAAAATCATGATTCAGTTGAATCTAAAAACTTGCGATTGTGGTTCTTTTCTTTTTTTTTTTATCTTAAGAAAATTAATGCAAAAGGTTTTTTAATATTGCCTAGTTGGTGAATGATTTGAGACTTGCGATGGTTTTGGGAATATAT